CGAAAAGCGCTATATAAATGCAATCCATTATTATTGTTATTATTATTATAAAATCACTATCTTAATGCCTGTTTCAAAATGCATGAATAAATAAATGGATACCTTGTAAACAATATTATGCTTGAAAAACAAAAAGTGAATTTTTCTATAGTTGCATTAAAGTAGAAAATGCCACCATTGGTTTAAAACTGGTGTAGAAGGATGGAGAATAACAGCAGCACTTTAGATGGAAGCAGCAGCACCTTTAAAGGCGCAATAAGGAACTTTTTTTCCCATCAGTGTGCAGAAATGATGCTGATTGCAGCTTTAACTGCTTTGTTTTATGAGTTTGTTTCTTTGCATTTATATTGGATGAACGTCTGCATCGGCTGATATCAGTCAGTCTGGACTGATGTCAGCAGCCAGTGTTGATCTGTTGGGTTGCATCAGTTTTGTGCTAGATGCTGAACGATGATGCGACAAAGAGCCTAAACCCTTCAAACGGTTCAGTGATTATTATTAATATTATTATTATTTCAATGTAGACTTTTATTGTTTCTTTGGCAGAAATAGTGGATGAAAGGAAAATAAAATCTAAATATCAGCCAGAATCGCTCCATCCCTGTTTGTTGTTTCTCTTGTGAAACAGCTATGACTGTTGGATACAATTATTAGTCGAACATGTGCTGGACAGACATTTGATCATAGGTGTGTTTCTCTCTGTGTTAGTCCTCGAATAGACTGAGGCTCTGTAGTCTCTCATCCTGTGACATGTGAAATAGGCTCCAGTCCCTCTGTCACAACTTCACAATGGATGAGCAGTAAAGAAAATGGATGGAAGGACTTCAGCAGAACCTTACTCTGTTATAAAGCCTTTATTAACCCTATAAATACCTCATTCAAAGAGAGACAATTATGCAATTCCAAATGTTATCAAGTGTTTGTTTATGCTTACACCTGTTGTGGGTGCTTCATCACAGCAGTTGAGAGCAGATCTGAGATTTTCATCAGCAATTTTAAACGCACCATTTATCCAACCGGGCATGCAGTGAGGTGGAGGATAGCTGACGCTGGGCTGAGGCATCCACCACCGAGCTAACAGAGCTGAAATCACCTTCAGAATTCAGCCAGTAAGATTTTGCTGGATGTTCTTGACGTGCTCTAGAGACACATCGCCTTGTTCCTCTCATTAACTGCCACGTACCTGAAACTAGAGATGTCAAGCTCATTTAACATGGTGGGCCACACACAGCTCACTGTGATCTCTGTCAGTGTAACAAAGTTTAACTACACTTCTAACTGAGACGCCTTAAAATAAGAATAAAATCATTTTTAACAGTGTTTTCAATTTTTCTACATGAGAAAGAAATGCTGCTGTCAAAAATAAGACAAATGTGTCAGCATGATTTAAACATGAAACAAATAAATGTGTCAAATTAGAGAAAAACGTAATTGTTTATCTCTTACTTGATTACTGTGGTGTAGTATGAGGACTTCTTTATCACCAGGGAAAGCTGTAAAACTGAAATACAAGCAAATAAGACCAAAATTCATGCCTTCCTCATAATTTTCCGAAGCGGTCCAGTGGGCTGGACTGGAGTCTTTGCCGAGCCGATTCTGGCCCACGGGTCTTATGTTTGACACCCGTGCCTCAGATCTTTCACGCACAGTTTTTATAGTGAGTGACAAAGAGATGAAAAATACATAAACTGTCCCGTTTCAGCGGTGGTTAAAAATGGCCAGCTGAGGCAGGGTGTGATTGGCCGTATGCAGGTTCTTCCTCTTCGGATTTAATCTAATGGTTTATGCAAGATCAACATCGCCCACCGGTTTCAGACGCCACATTTTGAAGCTACTAATAAAAGACCAGACTTTGACTCACCAAAAGTACAAATTACCTGAATGGGCCGCTCCACACAGCAAGCCATGATATTAGTCAGATAATCCATTAAAATGCTTTCAAACGCAGCACCGCAGTTGAGAGCAGACAGTGATTGGCTCTAGCTCCCCGTCACCTGTCAGGGACACCTGTCTATCAATGTGGCCATGCCCCTGACTCCAGCATGCAGATGGACGTAAACAAATTCAACCAGCTCAAAGTTACCATGAAGGGGGAAACTATCCATCGAGCCCAACACTGAGTTTAATTTCAGGCTGTAAATAAAGATTTGAACACTTTGATGTTGGGTAGTTTAACACAGGGAGACTGACTCCGTTTTGCAGCCGGCCTCAAGTGGCCACTGGAGGAACTTGAGTTTTTGCCACCTCCCGTAGATTTCTGCTAGTTTTGAATGTCTGTCAGCGCCCTCTCCTCTGATCTTATAAAGTTGAGTTCATTTAAAATCCTTTTTCCTTTTCAACACTTCTCTGACAACAAAAATAGTTCTTTTCATTTCTGTGTCTCAAAATGTGAGACACAAAAGCCGATTTTCCATGCAAATGCTAAAAAAATGAGGATTTTTGCATCCTTTCATGAATGAAGACAGAGGTACAAATCCAGCTTGTGCACATGCGCGAGACGGCGTGTAAAACTTACATTCTTTTTATGGCCAGCAGGGGGCAACATAACGACTGTCAGTCGATTCGAGGTCAACCCTCAGCTCCCTCACTCTGTGATCTCTCTCAACACTTGTATATTAAAAGTAATGATTAAGCCCAACAAATAAATAAAGTCTTATTAAAAAGAACATTAAGTTAAATTTGTAAATTATTGTAATTACAAGAGGAGAATAAATCAGGCCATGCTCGCTGGCTCATGAAGATTCACCTCAGATGATGCTGTTGTAGAAAATGTTTGGCTCAAATCTTCACAATGGCGGCTCTTTCCATCTTTTATATACAGTTAATGGATTGTGATTATTAAAGAGGACCTACAGCTTTATGATTGTGACTCACTGTTTTACTGCAGAGGTTTATGCCTCTGGTCCCTGGACTCAGGCCAGAGGACCACTGTTGAATCTTTCCGCGTCCTTTAAATCCTTTCATCTCCTAAATGTATCTAAAAATAAATAAATAAATAAAAATCCAACAGATCAGGATCATTCAAAATTATGACATCATCACACTCTATTTTTACTTTTTCATATTTGTTTGGCTTACTATTATAAACCTCAGTGAGTCAAAATGCTTGGTGACACTTTTGGATTCCCTCTCCAGCATGAGTCAAGCTTTTGTCTCCCACTTAGTTTAGACATAGTTAGACGCCTGCAGCAGGAAAAACAGGCCAAACCAGTGCCGAAGCAGAGAGGTGGGTCGGCAGGAGTAAAACTGACACCGTGGTGACGTCTTTAAGGTTGTCTGTGTTTACAGGGACTCATAAACAGTCGGTTGGTCCTGTGAAAGGAAAGGTAATGTTTCCATTTAAAATGTAAATTGACTCTCTTAACACA